TGGTGACTCTATAAAGTTTTGGGAAATTGGGTATTTTGTGGGTCCAGTGATGTTTTAGTAATTTTTTGGCAAATTGGGTATTTATGTAATTTTTGGGTTTCAAATGATCTAAATGATAATATCATATAGTTTGAAGTGAATTTTGTGATTCAATTACAGTTTTGGGGAGTTTTGAAGAATTGGAATATTCAATTGGGATATTTTAGGAGAAATTGGGTTGAAATAATTTTGTTCAGCCCCATGGGTGTAATGATTGCAACATTGTGATATGAAAATGCAATGTTTATGATGATCATGATGATTATGAATGATGATGCAATGTATTAAAGTCCAAAAAAGTAAAGTGATGCAATGTATTAAAGTCCAAAAAAGTGTAGAACAGTGTAATGCTTCCATATGGTCCAAATGTCTTATAGGAATTCTCATCAGGATTCCCTTATGTAATATCTTTGTGTTAAAAATTATAGATCACATATATAACCAACATAGAAAACAAAGATTTGGTTGAAATATCTAAGGAGAAGGTGTGTACCATTCCTAAGATGCTAAGATAGACATCAAGAAAGTCATAAAACTAGATCCTAATCACTAAAGGAAAGACCCAAAACCCTCACCCAAAAGTGAGGTCAACACCCACCCAAGCCGTTCTCAGCTCTTATCGGTCAGTTTCTCACCTTGAGCGGACCATGCCTTTCGCTAGACTTGTTTATGCGGATCTAATCACTATCTTCGCAGAGGTAAGTGTCTAGGCTTGTCGCTAGGGTGATTCACAAGCTACTCAATGTAGGACTATCATCGCAAAAAGGGGTAAGCTAACCACCATGAATTGAAATGTATTTTGGGCCTTGCGGCAAGGGTGTTTTGTAGTGCTTGGGAGTTGTCGGCCAATTAGATGAGGATCACACATGAGTTGACCAAGGTCAATATTTCCTACATATTGCTTGGTTAATTTGGACGGTCAAGATATTCAATAAAGGTGTGAGCCTGTTCTTTCTTGGGTGAATGATGTTCAATTGTGGATTTAAGTTTCTCAAGTGTTCGAAAATATATATGAATAACGTGCCAGCCAACTTCCCCGAGTAAGCATATAAACGATTTGAGAGCTTGAGCTTGATTAATTTTATCGAGCTCGAGTTTAAGTCTTCGAGTTCAAGCCAGCTCATAATCTTCTTGTTTACTATAAAAGTGAGAAAATAATATTAATTTTGAGTTGATATTACAATAAAATGATAAATAAAATGAGCAATTAGAAAAGAAATAATAAGAAATTGCTTAATATACAATAGAAATATTATTTTTTAAACTTTTGATATATTTGAGTATATTTTATATTAATTTTTTTTAAACGAGTTGGCTCATAAGCCGACGAATTGAGTCGGGGCTAGCTTGAGCTTGGCTCGTTAGCTCATCGAGCTCAGCTCACGAGCCACTTATCGAGTCGAGCTCAAGCTAGCTCACAAGTCGGCTTGAACCACTTACACCCCGAGTAGACTTGGTGGATCAATTTTATGGTGACGCGTTATAGTGTTTTCAAAAAAAAAAAAGTATTATACATGCGCCTGCAATTAAATAGCATATCTAAAGAAATAACAAGATGTCTGCCAAGAAAATAAAACATCCGAAAAAAATAGTAAAATGCCCAAAATATTCAAAAGAAAATGACCAACATCCAAACAGTCTAAAAAGAAAATAAATAAATAAATAAAGATCACATGACTAAGTTTTAGGGGTAAAAAATATTTAGGTTATCCCAACTCCATGTGCGAGGCATTTCTTTTCCAGTGTATGTTCGTAATAGGCTTATGATGCGGCTCATTTGTTGATGATGAATGGTTTTGTCCAAATTTCCTATGGTTTATTCCTGTGCGGTCAGATTGGTTTTCTTTAACACGAGATCCCCTTCGCAGATGTTTTTTTTCTCGAACGCCTTTGTTGCAATATCGGGTGGTCCTCCACTTGATTTCTTCCTGTTTGAGGACCAATTGTGTATGTTTTTCATCAGTCGCATTAAGTGCAAGCTCTAGCCCTTCCTTATTAGATTCTAACCATTCCCACAAGTTTTTCTCTTCAAAAGTTGAAGCGGGGACTAACCTTTGGATGTGAAGGTTGTACTCGATAGGTAGCACTTTTTTGGTTCCATGTGAAAGAATGAAAGGGTTTTGGTCAGTTGTTGTTCATGACATCGTTCAAATTGCCCAAAGGATGGCTAGGAGAAGGAGGTCGCCCGAGTGTGTTTGATCCCTTAACATCTTTCTAAGCAGGTTGAGTATGATTTCGTCAACATTTTCTTCTTGTCCATTCGTTCGTGGGTGGTGGACGGAGGCGAACTTAAGTTTCATACCTTAGTTTTGACAAAGATCATTGACTCCTTATTCAGAAAACGTAGACACAACCAAAAAATTATTTTCAATAACTAACTTCACTTGTTTAATTCTACATTATAATTACCACTTGGTCTTTTTTCTCCAACCGTTAATCTTCTTTACTAAAATATCACATTACTCACTCATCCTCATAAGACAATGAAATCATCACCACCCTATGTAATGATCAATTATGTAATATGAAAAATACAAAATGTCAACATGTGTTTATAGCGGGAAGCATGGGTCACATTTAATCAAAAGCAATTCTTCAGAGAACCAAAAGCACGATTCACAGTGATATGCAATTATGACTATCAAAGGTTAAACAAATCTTTGTAATTTGTTAGTCTTTAGTTAATGAATCTTTTAAATGATATCTTGTGGTATGGTAATGTAGATTTAAAATCCTTCATAATTGAGTTCTAACCATTGACAAAGTAGTACTTAACTGTAAGGTAAGTGTCATTTATTCATTTATAAAGGTAGCATAACTACTAAAAAGAAACATCTAAAAAATCATCAGTCTATAGTTTCTGGGACATGCAAATCATCAGGTCAAATCTAAGGTACTGCTAAGTACTAAGACGTTATCTATTGAGCCTTCCCAGCCAGTTATTGACATACATAAATCCTAAATTGAAGGCTATTATTGCAAGCACATTTTGAGTTGAATAGGATTTTTCCTCTCCAAAAAAATTAATACCATTTAGGAAGCCTAGTTTTAAAATATGATTCCTCAATAGTTTTGATACAATACTAGATTTTAGTTATACTAGCAATGGTAGTTGAAAACTCCAAGATCATATTCATATCCTAGAAAAAGGCATGAATTTATCAGTCAGTTAAATTTTAAATGAAGTTTGGATTGCAGGAGAATTTATCATCTTATATCGTAACTCTCCCACTGCATACAACATAACATTTAAGTAAGTACGTACAATTTCTCCAAATCATTGAAAGCTAAATCGAATGAACCCAATTACACACACTATGCCGAAGAGCATATAGCAACATAGTAACATGTTCTTTAATGTGCACATTATTTTTCTACAAGTAAGCCTCCTATGCAAAATAGACTAAATAATTAAAAAAAAAGTACTCTTTATTCGCACCATATTGACTCAATCAAAGTTAAATATAGGGATATAACCTAGAGAGAGACCTTTCATGTTAAAAATTCTAATTAAGATTAAGTCCTTATTATTTTTCCTTATTACATGAAATAAGACAAATATAACAATAATTGTGCTAGCGACTCTAGCATGAACAACTGGAGCATTTTGACTTCTGCTCATTACTGTGTCATTCCAAAATCATCCCAATTGGATAACAATTCATTATTATCATTCAATCAATTAATCAAAAATATAACAATTCATCTTTATCATTTAATCACACCAACTATTAATTTTTACTCCAATTAATACTTGAGTGCATAAAATAAGTGAATCAAATTAGAAGAAAGAAAATCCACCAAATCAATTCAAAAATATGTAGTTAAGAACATTAAGGGTTCTGCGAAGGGTATCTTCGGTCGAAAAGAGCAGCATGATAGATGGAATCAGAGGGAGCGTTGTGGCGATCGCAAGGAATCTACATTCATAGCATGCATTGTACCAACCTCATGGGAGTCACTGTGGCTTTTGCGAAGAATTAATACTCACAGGAGCCAGCACATTCGGGAAAGGAACTAATGATCACGAGGAATCCGTGTTCGTGGGAGGTACAACCGATCGCGAGGAATCTACGCTCATATGACACACTGTAGCTATCGTGAGATGGAATCCATGCTCCATGTATTTAAAATTCACTGAAATTGAGCGAGTTTGAGAGCTACAGGAATAGACCCTATGGATGAATCACACATACCTCAAATAAATACCATGTTTTTTATTTACTCCATGTCAAATAAGAAAAAAAAAGTCAAAATACACGCAAATCAAACATACTACACTCGCAACCAAACACCACCTTACTAAAAATACCATAGGTGCTCGCCTTTTTCTTGAAGAGATTGCCATAAAGCATCCCTCAAGTTAGAGCATAAGCCAACCACACACTGTAAATTATGACGAACTCTTAGGAAAGAGACTAATTGGCTGGTAATGGGCAAACTAACCATAGTTCAACGGTTCATAGCCATGCTATAGCAAAAGGGCTTTCTAGAGCCTTATTATTGCTTTAAAAGATTATTATGACATCTAATATGATAGCAGGAAGCATAAACATGCAGATTCTTTTACTACAAAAAATACTTCATCTATTTTTTTCTACAACTAAGAATGTTATTCATTGCATGAAAAAATCATAGAAAGAATATAAAAGCTTACAGAGATTTCTTATGAATAATTTCATAGGGAACAAAAAAAGGATTTTATGCTGAAAACAAGATAAAGGAGTGATCACAGAGGCGTACCACCAAAGTAGCAGGAATAGAATTTTTTTGGGATCAACTTAAGGTTCTTGTTAGTTGCTTCTTCTTTGAAGCCTTTAATATGGTGACTGGTTTAACAGGCTTTGTTTGCTGTTGTTTTTTGCTACTGTCAGAATCTTTCTTTTTCATCTTTGTTTGGCTAGGCCTATAGAGAATCACAGTACGACCAATCTGACCTACTGCTGCTGAAGTTTTAAAACATCGTCGAGCTCCCCAGGGCAGCTTCCATGTATTTTGAGCTGCAAGATGTTGATCAAGTCAGCCAATACATTTCCATAAATTACCGTCAACCGAGAGGCTGCAATCAAGGCATACAAGTTAACAGGAACATGAAAGTAGATTTAGCTACGATACATGAGAGAAAAGTATGAAGAATTTCATTGAATGTATTTGAAGATACAGGTGTAAGAAGATACAAAGTTACAATCAAGCCAAGCGCCTTTAGCAATATAACAACTCCATGTTTTACAATGATTAACTCTTCAAAATCTCTCTCACAAACTGCACTCAATCTCTCTCTCATACAAACACTCAAGCTCAAAGGAAAACTATACCTAAAAGTTCCCTCCCCAAAGGAAGAACAAGAGAACTCCTATGGTTTGAAGTAAAAAACTAACTTGTCTTGTAAGAAGCACCTCCAAATACGCACACCACCTCTAAGGCTCTGTTTGGCGCAACTGCAGCTTCCCAGCTTTTCAGCTGCAGCTGCGCTGCCCCAGGAAGCTGCTGTGGGGAAGCAGCTGCGGGGA